AAACTTGGCTATATATTGGCAGCACCAAAATATGAGTGGTTCTGAAGGAGATCATTAACTCTTACAATTGACATACGTTTTTCCCATTGCTGCAGGGCCATGTTACCACACTGCATCCTTTCCCTTGGCATTGCGAACAGATCACTCTCTCATGCCATTCACTATCTGATGCTTCACCAAACATGGCTGTCTGAAATGAATCAATGTCAGATAACTATTTTCCAGTCAGTGTGTCTTTAGCCTGATACTAGTCATTAAAGATGTTTGAGTATTAGGGCAGAAGATAAGCATTCCACAAAGCCTGGCACTTTCTCCCTCCTTCTCTTTTCTCATTATTTTTTTGGAGACAAAGCATCGGCTGTGTTCCAGGCATGTGTTAAGTACTATTTGCAATAAGAAGGAGCTCTGGTAGCATCGTTGTTATGAATTGGTATGAATTGCCAATCTCAAGGTCAGCAGTTTGAAACTACCAGTGGTTCTGTGGGAGAAAGTTGAGGCTTTCTGCTCCCGTAAAGATTTAAAGCCTCAGAAACCCCATGCAGGGTTGCTATGAGTTGGAATCGACTTGACAGCACTTAACAATAACAACTACATTTGCAATAAGTACTGTACTAAACTAAATCAAATCTACTACTGTCTAGTTGGTTCAAGTATATATGAAAAAAACAACAACAAAAAAAACAAAGCACCATGATCAAGTCAATTCCAAGTCATAGTGGCCCTGTAAGACAGAGTAGAACTGCTCCCTAGGGATTCTGAAACTGTAATTATTTATAAGATCCCATAGAACTTGATATTTTTGAACCAAGGACCTTGTGATTAGTAGCCCAGGGCTTAACCCATAGTGCCACCAGGACTCATTTCAAGTACATACAAGGTGTTGTTGCATACCATCAAGTAGGTTCTGACTCATAGCTACCTTGTATAAGGTTTTGAGAGTGACTGGTGGATTTGAACTGCCGACCTTGCAGTTAGCAGTCTTAACCTACAGCACCACCCAGACTCCTTTTATTTTTATATGCTATCTTGTATGTGAGGGATCCTATTGTGGTAATATAGATTAAGTACTAGACTGCTAACCACAAGGTCAGCAGTTCAAATCCACCATCCCCTCTTTGGAACCTTACACAGGGTCACTATGAGTTGGAACTGACTCGATGGCATAGAACAGCAACAACAACAACCTTGTGTGTGAGCTCTAGTGTGGTGCTGCAGGATAAGTACTGGACTTCTAACTGCAAGGTCAGCAGTTCAAACCCACCAGCCTCAGCATGGGAGAAAGATGTGACTTTCTGCTTCCTTATAGATTTACCGCCTCAGAAACATCATTGCAATGAGTAGGACTCGACTCCATGGCATGAGTTTTTGTACTGTTTTGTTTATTTATTTTTAAGATATATATATATCAGAGCTGGTTTAGATACAGGGGTATGCAAGCCAGAATAAGAAGTTTTCTCGAGCCCTGCAGCATGCCCAGTTCATAAATGATTATTAAAGTGTAGTGGAAAGAAGTTGAAGCTTTCAGAAACCATGGTAGTAGTTAGAAACTCGGATGTTGGAGCCAGATTCCTTAGGTTCAAATCCCAAATTGACCATTTCTAATTGCGTTAACATTGCTCAAGTTTCTTCACCCCTGCTATATATGCAACATGTGTTACATATGTAAACATGTCTCCTAGGTTCATAGTTAACTGCTTTGTGTCTATTTTGTGGGGCAAGTTAAAATGAATTGCAGGAGATGAATAGTTTTTAACATCATATTGCTCCTCTATCTCCTCAGGATATAACTTCATAGGATTTGTTGTGAGAATAAAATGCAAAGGAAATGAAATTTCTCAATTAAAGTAATTGGAATCAAATACTTTAACTGAGAGATATTAACATATGCTAAATTTTCTTAGAAGTCCCTGAGTGGCACAAATTATCTAAACCTTGGGCTACTAACTGAAAAACTGACAGTTTGAATCTACCTGGAGGTATTTACACAGGTAAGCTTGATAATCTTCTTCTGAAATATCATGCCCATTAAAAACTCTATAAAACTGCAGTTCTACTCTGAAACACATAGGGTTGTCATGAGTTGGAATTAACCCCATGGTGCTGATGATGTTGTTGTTGTTAAGTGCCGTCGAGTCGTTTCCGACCCATAGTAACCCTGAATAGGGTTTCCAAGGCTGTAAATCTTTACGGGAGCAGAAAGCCTCATCTTTTTCCCGCGGAGCAGCTGGTAGTTTCGAACTGCTAACCTTGTGGTTTGCAGCCCGTTTCGTAACCACTATGCTACCAGTACTATCCTTGGTACTGGTGATAGTGGTGGATTTATTACAAAGGAGAAATTATTCCAGGCACCTTGAAAAACACAATGAATAAAATGTACAGAAACCACTGTTTTTACAAAATTTATGTGCTATACAGGATATGGACTCCAAGTGAGGTACTGTAGGATCAGCACTGGACTGCGAACCACAAGATTGGCAGTTCAAATCCACCAGCTGCTCCTCGGAAAACCTATACAGGGTTGCTATGACTCAAAACTGACTTGATGGCACTTAACAATAATAACAACAAAATGGATATCGATCACCTGAACATTTAACACTCACTTTATAGTTAGAAAGAATGAGACACACACACAATGGTGTCACTTGAGTTGGAGTTACAAAGTGTGACTGACCAGAAGCCTTTTTTTCTTTTTCGCCTTCTTTTCCTTTCATTACGATTTCATTTAGAAAAAAAGGTTATTGATAAAAGCTCACATATACTGATTACTACACTACTGTAGCTAAAACACTGGAAATTTTGACACACTCAGTGACTATAAAAACATATTGTTGTTAAAAGTCAGTTTTGATTCATAGCGACCCAGTTTAGGGTTTTTGGAAGAGTGGTTGGTGAGTTTAAACAACCGACCTGACCTTGTGGTCCAGTGTTTATCCTGCAGAATCACACCAGGACTCCAAACCATGGGCAGTATTAAAACTGGTGCCTATAACACATATGCAGATGAAACTTAGCATCATTATAATTGGATAATAATGACAGGTTCAAAAAGTAAATTAGCATAGCATATTGTTATATGTAAGCTGGGTTTATAAAACTAACATATTTGTTTTGTTGTTATAACTTACAGAGATATTTTTATACAAAACAATAAAATTCTGCTAAAGTACTACACAAAAATTTTATAGAAAGTCACTTTGGTATCACTTCCACTGACAGTTTGACTTCGTCGGGTCCACATTTCCTAGTGACATCACTGCACACACACAGTCTACCAACTTGCAACATCATACAACAAGTTGGTAATTCGCTATTAAGCGGTCAGGAAAAGCACAGACCACTGAATGAATTACCTCAAGTACTCCTTTGCCTTTTCTCCTGTCCTAGCGTCCCAGGCAGCGTCCCTGTCCTAGTGTCTCTGGCAGCCCCTGCCTGGGCCGAGCTGTCCGGCCCCCTGAGCAGGACCGCAGCTTCTGACGCTATCGCTTGCATCCTGCGAGCCGGTTTAGGCGCCGGGTTTGAAGCAGCACTGGGCATCAGGCACGGACCGCCGCCGGCTTGCCCTACCCTTCACGGGAGACCCCAGCTTGGAGGTCTCAGCCCTGGCGCTGAGGACGCCTGGGGGCCAAAAGACTTTGGCTTCGGCTGGTTGCCTTCTGACACGTCATCAATTTGACAGCCTCGCGCCAAATCAGAGGCTGGCGCTCTCTGGGAGCCCCAGGCGTCACCGACACCGCGAGCACCCGCGGATTAGAACTCGCCTCTCCTAGCTCCACCCCTCCGTCCCATTTAAAGCTCTGACAGGCTGGACGGAAAATTAAGCGTGGGCTGTTTCTGCAGCGCCTTCGTCCACTGCAAGATGGTGAGTGAGTAGCTGGTATAGTCCACTGGCAAAACCAGAGGACTCTGAGCTAGTAAGCTTTGCATTTAAAATTCCTTCCACCCCAGGCGCAAGATTTCTTCTGTGTACCCCTTGAAACAGGTTGTTTGTCTCCTTTACATCACCCTGTATTTCTTTCCTATCATCCCTGCCTTTCTCTGGTCCGATCTGAGTGTCTCTCTTTCTCATCTTTTTTTCCTCGGTATTATTTCTTCTCTCTTTTGTCATCCACAACGTTCTGCACCTCTCCACCTGTACTCACTCTGGATTCCACCTGTACTCACTCTGGATTCCACCTCTTCCTCTAGATTATGCCCATATTTGCAAACACTTGAACTAGTCTAGGGGTATTTGGGGTTTGTTTTCTTCTCAGGTGTCAATTGCATAATCGCTCAGCTCTGATTCCAATAATCACCTCATGGAAAGAATCTGCAAACATGCTTTTAGATGAAAAGAAAACAGCACTTGATAAACTTTTGGCTGAATTTCTTTGGTCTGCACTGTCCAAGCTTGGATTTATTTCAGAACTGGACTTTTTTTTTTTTTTCAAAACTTAACTTGCCGAGAACGTTAACAAAGTGTGATTTAATTGACTTAACTTTTTCTCCCTTTTTTATTTGTTTTCTCTCTGCTTATGTTATGCCCAAGAAAGCCCTCAAGTCAACAAAAGGCAGTGGTCAAAAAGAGCTGAGCGCTCCTAGAAATGAATGGCTTTTACCTGATTAAACATTGACAATAATTAGGAATGGGCTGTTATACAAATTAACCCAGGAAGGCTGCATACCTGCCCCTGCCTGGCTATTTGGAAAGATTGTGTGTTTGAGGTTTGGAGAATCAGGGGCAGGGGGGTGTTCACTGGGTCAGAACACTAGAGGCTGCCTGCCAGGCAGTTAGTGGTGGCAAGATAACTTTGGAAGGAAAGGCAAGAACTGTCTTTACTCACTAACTCATTTTAGCTTTGATTATTTTCCTTAGTCAGAGTGACTTTATGCTCCTGTACTTGGAATTGGGGTGTGATTTGAAAGCAACAGCTATTGATTTACACCTGGAAGAAATACATACACATATGCATATATGCTTGGTATGCGTGTAACAAGTTTCTCACTCTGAAACTCTAGGGATGTTAAAATGCATAACGTCACAACTTTTCCGTTTCCGTTTTACCATCCTAGCCTTTTTGCCTTTCGAGGTTATTAGAAAAGTAGGAATATAATTAGGCTACTATAGAGAGAGAACCAAAGAGTTGTTAATATAATTAGGTCTATTATTACCTTTGCTTAATTAAGTAGAATTCCTCTTACTTCAATTCTGGGTAGCCTGTTAGATGATTTAAGCATTGTAACAGTGAATACTTCTGGATGCTACAAACTTGGCCCATTCAATCCTAGTCTGTTCTCTGCTCAGAGAGCCTAAGGAAAGTACTGGGTAAAGCAAGGAGCTAATTCCCTTTTAGTAATTAATTAAATCTTGGATATATAATTAACACCTTTATTGTTTCTGATTCACTGCATCTAATTTCTGCATCTTTCTCTCATCCTTTCCCTCTCAAATCCCCATCACCTTTTCTCCTGGGACCTCCCTTTGCCCCCTTGTGCTGAATTTCACAGAACACCATTCTGCCTTGCCAAGACCAGTACTTTGTAGGAGGCCAGAGCTATAATTGCCAGTATTCCACTCCAACGTCAGAATCTAATGTTGACGTTTCCAGGGAGACTTGGGTCTCTTTCTGGGCTTCTGGTCTCCTGGACAACAGAGAGCCCCAACAAGCACCACAGACACTGGGTAAGTTCTGCTCTTCTGCTTTCCTGGTTGAGATGGGGCCCTTTCTCCAGAACCCATGGTTGCAAAGCAAGATGGACCCTGTAGAGGGATGATATGGAATGTTAAAGTAAGCCTAAAGGTGCCTACATTTTACAGCCTGCACTATGACCTGTTGTTTCATTCTTGTTAAATAGTGAAAATGGGAATCTTTCTCTAGCCTGTTGGACAACATACATCTGTCCCTGCAGCATGTATTTCTTAGCACAAAGGAAGTCCCACATCACTGAGAGTTTGTGTCTGAGTCAAAGTTTTATAAACAACTCTCTAGAGAGATGCTTTGGGAGTCAAGAGACCAGTTAAGACATTTCTTTTGAAATTCAGGAAGACTTCCCTGAGTATGAGAGAGTAACAAGAAGAAATACTAATTCAATCTTTAATTACACAGAGGAAGTCCAATGAACAGGTGTCTTTGACCTATTTAAGCATACTTCTTCTTTGGAGGAGCATATAACATGATGGAAAATTGTGTCATCAGTTTACTCTAGAATTTAGTAAATAAAATTTAAAAGTATCAAGAGAATTTTAATATTAACACTCAAATTTCTGGAAAAACTCAAGATGGCCTTAAAATTAAATATCTGTTCATTTGTTTCTGCCACATTCTTTCTTTCTCTCTTCCTCCCTCTTTTCCTTCCTTCCTTCCTTCCTTTGTCTCTTTCATTTAAGGTACAAGGAAATAAGCAATCACTCCAAAACATTAAAACACATTTATATGATAGGTGTGGGAGTTCTTCAATGTTAGTTTTCTATATTGTATACACTAGAGAAAACAGTGCCCACAGATATGAACCTAAACTGTTCATAAAATTGTACTTGTGTTTCCTTACTCTACATACCACTTTTAACAAAAATATTTTACTAACAACAGTTTAAACAGAGCAGGTCTGTAGCAGATGAGAACAAGAAAGTAGAAAATTACTCCAGTATACCCAGGCATAGTTTATTGATAAGTATACTTTCCTGACAAATAGAAAGGGGCGGGGGGAGAAAACTTCTGTGAAGAAGCTCAAATGACATACAGATAACATCATTTGAAACAGTTGCAATGTGGCAACATTTTGAGATATTTCATTAAGATGTTCAAAGAAGTCAGTTCCAAATTATTTTACAGTTAACAGTGCTGCTACACAGAATCCTGAACAAATACTCTCCATCAGACTTAACTGCCAGCAGACAGACAAGGATTTTAATTTGGGGATAATTTAAATCAGCAACATAAAAGAGAATTGCATTCTGGTGCTAAACACTACATTATCAATTTCTGAAGTCTAGAAAATAAGAGAAAAAATAGAAAAATAGTGGAATTGCAGCACTCTTCCTAGAGGAAGGAGAGAGAGTCAGTAGCTATTGGAATGAATTAATATTGCAGATAGGACAGTCTTTATAAATTTAGCCAGTAGGGATATATATTCTAGGGAAGAATCTGACCTCTATGCTCCTAAAACTTCCCATTTTAACCATTGTGGCATATTGTTGTTAAGTTCCTTTGAGTTGGTTCTGACTTGTAGCAAACCTGTATAGGGTGTTCGAGGATTGACTAGTGAGTTTGAACCACTGACCTTGCAGTTCAAACTGACCTTGCAATCCAGTGCTTATCCTACAGCACCATACCAGGACTCCATATAATCTATAAATACTTATCTTTCACAGCTTTATTCCTCTTCTGAAAACTTTAATTTTTGTTGTTGTTTGTGTATGTTTGTGTGTAGAGACTCTAGGTATGCCTAAGAAAGCTAACTCAGCCTATTCAACTTTCTGAAATCCTTTGGTGGGTTTCTCTATTGTATGTGAATTACAAGTATGCTTTCTCAGTTATTTATTTATTTTTCACATAGAATTGTCCAGTGACCCGAATTTCCCTGTTCCAGACTCATGTTCCTGGGAAGAGGACCAGCTTTCCTCTCAGCTCTATAGAAATAAGCAGGTCTGTATAAATGATCAGAGTGCTGAGATTGCCTATGTTCTAGGTGGGACAGTCTCCTATAAATATTTAAACTGAATGGCATAGTTCTTCTGTTTTCTGTAAAAATTTATACGCAGACTTTCAGTTTGAAAGTACAGTGGGCATGTGTTCGAAAGACAACGGACAGAGACCTTCAGTTAACTTTTGACTAATACACAATGTTCCTATATGACTTCTTGGATTTGCCTTTTTCTTACCTATGTAGTTGGAATATTTATGTTTCCTACATCAGAGTGCTGTTGGAAAGATGAAGTGAAATAATGAATATGATATTTATGAAGCATAAAATAACTACTTGGAGAAGATGATTACAATGGGTGTTATAAAGATTGCTTCATTTTCCATGTTTTTTGTTGTTCCGAAGAAAGTAATGTAACCTAGTGGAGATACAAACAGACCAATCTGAGGCGGAGGGAAGCCAATTCATCTCTCTCTCTCTCTCTCTCTCTTTTTAATGTGCAAGGAAGGAGTCCAGTAAACTCGTTGTAAAATGTGCTTTTCTATATTTAAACAGTTGCATGCAGCTCATTTTCCAACATACCTCCCCATTCCATTGTGGTTACAATTTTTAAAAGTTCTTTAATCTCTTCAAACATTTTGTAAAGAATAAAAAAATTCACAGCAGAAAACTGAACAATCAAGAAGAGGGGTGTGTGGATCCAATTTAGGCTTGTAGGGCTAAAGCTCACTGAGGTTGTGTTCATAAAATAAACAGTAGAATAATCAAGTTTAAGCTGGTTGAAGAGCAATGACATTGTTGTAAGGTTACAAAGTCAATATAGTGGAGCAGCCTTCACCATTGTCTGCCTTTTACAGCTTCAAGATACTCTGGTGCAGAAGGAAGAAGAACTTGCTAGGTTACACGAAGAGAATAATCACCTCAGACAATACTTGAATTCAGCTTTAGTTAAATGTCTTGAGGAAAAAGCCAAGGTATGCAACTCTCCCCTTTATAGAAATGGAGCAACAATTCGAGAATGGAGCCATTTGGGCAAAACTCCTTGATTAAGTGTAAAATGCTCAATAAATAATGCATTTGAAATGCATCTACAGAACTGATGACTATTTCTCAAGGAGATCCAGTGTATTCCCCAAAAAATGTCATGCATCATATTCCTGAAATAATCTAGATTGCAAATATTAGCTATACATTACAAGATGTGTAGTGTTGAGTGCTAAAGGGAATTTCTAAGCAACAGAGGTTAATCAAAAGACTGTTATAAGAATGGAACACAAAAGCAGAAATCAGATTTGAGAAACAGCAACTTGCTCTAATTATCTGGCCTTACATTAGTCACTCTCTCACTCAAGGCTTCAGTAACCTTCATCTGTAAATGGATGGATTGAGACATTTTAACTCAGTGACAAAAACAATGGACTCCAATGTAACAATTGCAAGGATGGTGCAGGACCAGGCAATGTTTCATTCTACTGTGTATAGGATCACTATGAGTCGGAACTGACTCCATGGCATCTACAGCAGCAAAAGACCTTTTGTGTCTCCACGGCTCTGCAATGCCAGGAAATGGCTAGAACTAAGATCTCTTGACTATCAGTTAGACATATCAAATGATATTATCTTCTAATTCACCCAGAGTTCCTAGGTGTTAAGTACTCCCCTACTAACTGAAAGGTTGGTGATTTGAACCCACTGGAAGTTTCTCAGAAGAACGTTGCGCTAATCTGCTCCCTAAAGGCCACAGGCTTGAAAACATTATGGAAGCCAGTTCTACTACGGCATAACTGCCCTTGCTGAGTTGTTACTGATTCAGTGACACCTGGTCTCTTATATTTTGTTTTTTAATTCACATTTTCCCACATTCTTCAAAAGTCAAATTTTTTCTAACTTGAGGATAAGCAGCTTGCCTATAGGTCCCTTTCTGCTCTTCTTCTTCTCTTTGGCAACTGTATTTTTCACTATCTATTTGCAATTCTAATTGGAAAGCGGAAACCCAAAGGGCAGAAGCCTTACTTAGCAATGGTTTCCTTACTCCTAAACAAGCTACATTATTTGAAAACATTGAATTAATCTAAATTACTGAGGTATCAAATTATTCTTACAACAATTTAAAGCAGAAAATAGTTTTGTATAAAAGGGAGCATGTATTAGTTCGAGGCTTCTAACTCACACCACCATTCCATGAAAAAAGACAGTTTTTCTATTAAATAGGTAATGTTAGTCAGTTTTATCTCTCTTGGTTGCAATTTTCCAAGACTTAGAATAATATAATACATATTACATGGTAAGTTAATGAAAGAAAAAGAAGAAGTCATAAACAGGGTTCACATCAGATTTCTATCTAGATTCAGATTAGTTACACTTAAATCTAGAAATGTGATATTCAGCAAGGTACTAATATATGAGGGGCCTTCAAAAAGTTTGTGGAAAAGGGAATTAAAAGATAATGGATTTCTTCTATAAACTTTTTGAAGGCCCCTCATGTGTATGTGTGTAGATAGATAGATAGATAGATAGATAGATAGATAGATAGATAGATAGATAGATAGATGTAAATATAAAGATATAGATATAGATATCCCTGGTATGGCATTGTAGGATAAGCACTGGACTTTTAACTACAAGGTTGGTGGTTCAAACCTAACATATATATATATTTATTGTTGTTGTTTAGTGCCGTCGAGTCAGTTTTGACTCATAGTGACTCTTACAGGATTTCCCAGGAATGGCTGGTGGGTTTGAACCATGACCATGCAGTTAGCAGGCCAGTGCTTATATTACAGCTCCATATCAGGAGTCTC